ACTGGAATTTGGCCTTTGTTGTTCCCAATCGTCATTTTATCGAAGTCAACTACACACTTCCTCGGTAGTAAGTAGTCCAACCCTAATATGCATTGGTCTTCAATGTCAGCCAAGTATACTTTGTGCCTGTCCATTATGCCCATGAGCTCAATAGTTACCCACACTGGTCCCCACAACCTTGCACAATGTCTTCACACCACAGAGCTTCTCTATGGCTTCTGGTACTCCTATGTGATCTATCATCTTGAAACTCACAAAGGTTTGCTGAGATGCAGAATCTATGACAAAGTTGCACTTTTGGCCATCCAGCTTTCCTATCACATAGACACTATGTGTGCTTGTATTTTGCACTTAGCTGTTGGGACTTTCACAATGGGGTTGGTGGGCATCCCTCAGCACCAACCACTACTGGTTTTCCGAAGCTGACTTATTGGTAGTATTTTTCTTACACTGGCTCATCATATATCCTTGCTCTCCATATCTTCTCTGTGTTGAAGTTGCTGGCGTTGAGCTCTCTTGTGCTCAGGTTTGTTACAGTGCCAGCAAAGTCCCTCAAACTTCTCTGAGACCTGCCCTTTTCTGGCCTTGAATCCTGATGCATGCACCAACCTTGGTACCTCTATGCTGGACTTAATGTAGGATTCGAATTCAAGAGCTCTGGTCATTACATCCTGCATAGTAGAGGGGTGTGCTTGCTCTACTTCTATCTTCAGTTGTGGACTGTCCAAGGCATCTACAAACTGATCCTTCAGCAACAGCTTGAGGACATTGGGTGGTGAAGTTGGGTAGGGCTGTGTGTCATACTTTCCAAATCCTGTGCCAGCTTTTGTAGGCTCCCCCCCCCTTTAGCATGGACTCTAGTCCTAAACCTAGCCCTGTAGATTTTGTACTGATTTTGAGTTCCATACCTGATTTCTAGAGCAGCTACCAGTGCTCTATAGTTGTGCCAGTCGTCTGCTGACAACTGTCCAAGTATTTCTGGTGGTTATCCATTCAAGCTCTTTGCCAGGTGCACTGCTTTCTGCACCTCTGTCCATCCATTCATTTCTGCCAGGAGTTCAAATTGTGCTCTATATGCTTCCCATGGTGCCTTCCCATCGAGTTCCTGTGGTTTCCTTCATAATAGATCACCCCTATTGCTGACACTCGTGTCTGGAATGTGACTTCTGGCAGGACTGAAGATGTCTGCATTAGGGTTTAGCTGCAGGGTCTGGAAGGGGCTTCCTGTTGTCTGGGGGCTGATTAAGTCCATGGCTAATATATCCTCCCTGTGTAAAAGATAGTAAATCGTCCTTTAATGTATTTAATTCACTTTGAAATTTACTAATCTTTTCCATTTGTACTTCTTGTTTCCTTTCTTGTTCCAGTTGCCATGAGTGCTGGTTTTCTTCCCACTGCTGTAGTCTCTCTTGTTTATTTTCTTTCTCCTCCAACCACTGCTGTAGTCTCTCTTCTTGTTTATTTTCTTGATTCCTTTCTTTTTCCTCCAACAACTGCTGTAATCTCTTTTGTTTATTTTCCTGTTCGAGCTGCCACCGTTGCAGGTTTTCTTGCCACTGCTGTTGTCTCTCATCTTGTTTCTTTTCTTTTTCCTCCAACAACTGCTGTAATCTCTCTCTTCTTCTTTCTTTTCTTTTTCCTCCAACAACTGCTGTAAGCTCTCTTTTTCTCCTCCAACCACTGCTGTAATCTCTCATCTTCTTTTTTCTTTTCCTCCAACAACTGCTGTAATCTCTCTTCTTCTTTCTTTTCTCGTTCTTCTTGTTTCTTTTGCCGTTCTTGTATTGCTGCCATAAAGTCTGCTAAGTCGTAGTTTGATTTGCCACTTCTCGTTTCCATCATTTTTTTCGTTTCCGTCCCACTCACTGACACCAATTTGTTACATATCTGCTTGTTTGTTAATTTCCGGTAGAATTTCTTTCCGAGGAACTTCAGTGATACAAATGCTTTCTTAATTAAACCAGTTTATTATTTCTCGATACAAACTTTTAGTACACAGTAATTCCACTGTCAGTACGTTTTTCGTCACTTTAAACTTAACAACTTTTATAATACACGCTATAATCCACAGCGATTCACAATCTCGATAACTTCGCCCGAAACTTACCGTGACTACTGTTCGCTTTACCATACATTCATTTTCCCAGGCCTATATACTAAAAAAGAGGGCGTCTCGAACAAACTCAGGCTTACCCTATAATTCATGATCATTCGAAAAATTCATCACGTGTTACCAGGATCACGTGATTTCCGCTGTCGTAACAATATCAAGCTATTAACTAAGTGGAGGGATGGGGAGTTAACACATAGTCCTTTACCACATCAACTAATCGAAATGTTCCCTATCTTTAACTCTATGACACTTCTTTTTAGGTTTAAACCTTCCTCAAACCTATTCCCAGTAATCTCTAGTTATCTGTTAATATCTTTCAGTCTACAAATCACTCAAGCCTAAGAATAATTTACAAAAGCGAAATTTCACGATTTACAAAGCTCATCAACCCCCCCCCCCCATGCCACAATATTGTTATCATTAATTTGTTTAGTAAGAAGAGATTTTCTTTGTATTTTTAATCATCATACTTTACCTGTTCAGGACATCTTCAAATATAGCGCTCATAATTCATGCTTAATTTTTAAAGTGTAATACAATTAGTTAAAAATAAATATATCAAATCTTAAATATTTTATTTTCAATTGAATTAATATTCGAAAAAAATTCTGGACCTTTGCATTTAAGGATGTCGCGGTTATCGTATATGCCGATATACCTGTTTGACGTGGGAATACATAGGTAAAGCGAGAAGCTGTTACGTCTATTTAGGTATCTTATTTTACATCTTTTACTTTTAAATTCGGTGCTTATACTAGCTATACATTCATGTTCTAGATCTACTTTATGGTTGTTTTTTAAAGATTTATTTTATCTTCAATTTGAAGTCTAACGCCGACATAATGAACGAATGTTTATAATTGGTAATATTATTACTAATATTAATTGTATAGAATCGCCCCTGTGATCCCTATCGGTCTTCTATCCTAAGTTCTATAATTAGTGTATTAATATTCATTAATAGAAAAATAAACATTTAGTCTTTGATTTTTTCTGAGTTGAAGAATGTGTTTTCACTTTTGTTGTGATTGTGTGCAGTTATATGTGATAAGGCAATAGAAGCCCATCATTATCTTGAATTTACGTTATAGTACTAACAACATATAAATGTTTTATTTTTTTATTTAGTATGTGAGATATTCGACCTCGGATTCGGAGGAATAAAAAACAAGTGATATATATATATATATATATATATATATGTGTGTGTGTGTGTGTGTATATGCACTATTTCTATGGTATTGCAAAAAACCTGGTCAGTATATCATTGTTAAATTTCGAGCTATAGTTCAGGTAAATCTAAATAACAATAATAAAGGCAGATATAGACCTTGAACTTTGACTATGAGGTATGTGTGTACTATTTTTTTTTTTTTCATTTTTAAACAGAAGAAGGTTACTAGTAGTTATTGATGGAGAAGTGTCATTCAAAGATGAATAATTTTATTTAATGTCAGAAATAAGCATGTTTTTATTTCACTAAATTTACAGTGTTTGATAAGTCATAACATTATGTCTGTTAAGAAATACTTTACCATTTCAGTAATAATACAGGTAATACTGATTTGATTTTGTTGTACAGGACTTTATTTATAATTATAACATATATGTATGTATGTATGTAGTTTCTGGTACTCCTATGGCAATTTATTTGTTTTTGTCAGGATTTAACTATAAATTACTTCTAGTACAGTTTTTTATCACATTTCTTGTCAACAGTATAGCAGCAGTTGAGTTGGTGAAGGCATTCAAATTTAGGCTAATTATTCTTAGATATGAATTAATCCTTCTATGTTCTAGTACTGTAATATTCAAGACTTGTCTTAAAGATCAGAATTTGTTTGTTTGTCATTTGTATTTTAACATGTGTTTTTAACAGTGTGACAAACTTATTGAACCTCTCAGGATGCGTTTATATGTATACGTAATATTGATCTTATTTCATTGTGCCTAAAACTATGTATGATCTATCTTCTTTTTTTTTCTTACTTACTACTAATATATAAAAGCTTGAAGCTCTATTTCAGTATGGTTTCTTGCATGTTCATATATTTTGAACTGTTACTCAGTTTAACAAAGTTGTAAGTTATAATTCTTTTTAACTTGGTATAAAATACTGTTTATATACCCTGCTTTACCTATTGCATGTAGTGAATTCATACAAGTAAAATAAATAGTTTTGATATAGACATATATCCAACATTGAATTCGTAAAAGGAATTTTATTACAAATATAGTTTTGTCTTTATTTTCATAAACAGTTTGTAATGTTGTCAGTTATATATAATTGAGTCATGTATATGATTTACAAAGAACAAAAAATATAAATATATTTATTCAATGTTACATAACTCATTATTTGAGATTATCAAAGAAGTAATATTTTAATAGCAGGCAATGGTGATGTATTAGAAAATATGCAAGAGCATAGTGTGCACTTTACCCAAGCATACCAGTATAATAAATTGCTACTTCAAATGATTTAAATTTTGTAAAATTAATATGCAGTAACTGAAAATATAAACCATAAATCAACTTAGGCAGAGTGTTATAGAAGTGCTCTGTTTTCTTTTTTCATATATATACTAGAGTATATTTCTAAGCCTTTTCAGCAAAAAAAGGATTTTTATAGGTTGATCCCTCAAAGTAGTAAACTTTAAAATCTTGCTTGTAATTACACATTTTTAGTAAAGTTAAAGTAGTACATGTAATATCATACATATAGTTTCAAAGACACTAGTTTCATTTCCAGTGGTGTGTTTATGTTCCACTTATTAAGTGAAGCATTATTGATGGTATGAAAAGTGATAGTTTCTCAGTGCAAAATTATGTGTATCATAAGACAGATGAAGAATATTGTAATTTCTGTTTTTAATGAGAAGAAATGGCTTGGTTTAAATTTTAAGACTATAAGCATGTCAGATTGTATTCTGATTTTATGACCCACTCACAATTAGCTAGCACCTCTCAGGTGTTGAGTGCACACCTGCATAGCAAATTTCAAAACATAATTGAAATTAATAATTTGTAATTCTACTTCAACAATTTCTAATTCAAAAGTATTTTGGTATTGACATTTTGTCATTTTATAACATTTATTCAGTGTAATTCACAAAGAAAAATGAAGAAAATGTTGAAAGATTCATTTCTCTGTAGCTCCATGTAGTCTCGCTTGTATACTTCACACTTACCAATTTTTACAAATTTTTCTGCCTGTCCCAAAACAGGTTTGTATTTGCTAAGAAACTATCATCCTTTAAGAATATGCCCGGCATGGCCAGGTGGTTAGGGAGCTCAACTCGCAATCTGTGAGTTGTGGGTTTGAATTCCCGTCACACCAAACGTGCTCGCCCTTTCAGCCTTGTGGCCATTATAATATGATGGTCAATCCCACTATTTGTTGGTAAAAGAGAAGCCCAAGAGTTGGCGGTGGGTGGTGATGACACTGCTAAATTAGGGACGGCTAGTGCGGATAGACTTTGTGTAGCTTTGCACAAATTCCATAACAAACAAACAAGCCTTTAAGAATATAATTATTGATGCCACATTTCTCACCTGAGTTTCTTTCTCTGTTTGAAGTTTTGTTACAGCCATTCATTCTAACCCATTTATGATGTCATAGCATGTGGTATGAAGAATTACTAATTAAACACAGCTTTTAAAAAAAACTACAGGCAAAGCATAGATACCATTGGGTAGAACAGATTATGAACTGTTTTTATCAGTCTAGTTGCTTATTTAATATTGTTGTTAAGTTTATTGTATTGAAAATAAATTATATTTATTAGATGTACATTAATTTTGACCAAGAATATTGTTACAATTGTGAAAAAGGTTATGACGAAACCATTGTGAAAAGTTAACTTGCAAGTCACTGATAAATCGTTATCAGTTTTTGTCATTTTTTATGATTTATAACCATAAGTTGTGACAATTGGTAAAGTAAAGTATAAAAAGAAATAATTTGATGGATATCAATCTCTTTGAAACTGACTAAATGTATAAAATGGAACTTTTTACTCAACAATAAAAATTAAAGAAATTATTTGTGAGTAAGAAGTATTTGAATGATTTTTTTAAAACAGTGTCTTACAACAAAATTTTGAGAATTGCTCAAGATAAAAAAATGATAGAAAAACTAAATCAAATTATATTATTTAAAAAAAAATCAAAACTAAATACTATTTTATAATCTTGTACTAAGATTCATGCAATTTAGTTAAGGATTTTCAGCATTGTAGGAAAAATCAAAGGATATCAATGACACCCAGGCAACAAGGAAAGTGTTAAAATATTTCATAGATCTTGAGTAGTATCCTAGCATGTCAGTTTGGATTCAAACCAATAGAATTATTTAAGTTCTGCACTCATTATGTTTAGAGCTAGACAAATAGTGAAATTTGCTAATTAATTGATCATTAGAATAATTAATTAATTATGTTCAACTAAACATTATTCTCACAAGATTTGGATAGTTGGAATATTCAAAAATAGAAACACTAATTTTGGTTAGCTGACTATTTTCACAAGTTGTGACACTAACTGATTAAGCTGAACAACCAGAATTCATTGCAAGTAATGATGAGAAATCATAATGGCAATATTTTAATTGCTTGGGCAGTTGTAATAATTGAAAACTATAATTTTGATTAGTGGATTATTTTTGTGACAGGTATTGATGTAATTTTAATTAATCAGTTATTTTACCTGACACTAGCTGATATAATCAATGGTCATAGGTAACTGAGATAATAAATCAGCTCTAATGATTTTTCTTTTAAAGTAAACTAATACTCATTACTACATTTCTCAAATGTTTACTTGTATTTGAAGTAAAAAGTACATTTTGTACAATGTAAGCAAGGTATTTATTGTTACAGATTCCTCAACATTTTTCATACTTTTTATTAATTGATACTGTTTTGCATGTTCTTCAAGGTGGACAATGTTTGTAGATGATAGGTGCAAGACATTTTCTTCCACAAAAAGTATAAGATGAAGATAGTGAGCTTTTTAAATGACTGCTTGTCTTCCATGTACAATGAACTTTATAGGAGATGGCCGATCAGCTTTCTGGCATTTCCATTATCATATGTATTGCCTTTGGTTTTCTGGTATGTCAAATATAGTATACTGTTTGTTTTATTAGAGATTTTTGTATTTTGTGTCTAGCATATTTTTTTGAGAAGTTCTGGTATATGTTTTAAGACTCATTGTTTAATTGTGGGAAAAAACACTTGAAAAACTTCTCGAGCTAACTACAATGTATTTGTTGAATGCCAACTTTGAGCTCAAAACAGTTACCACACTTTGTTTGCCAACCAACAGTTAAGAACTGCTAAGGAACATTAACAAAGTCATGATGTAAAACAAGAAGGAAACAATGAACTACCAATTACCATATTGCCCTTCCTTTCAGCACTTGTACCTAAACTTCAACATTTTTGTAGGAAATAAGATATTCATGTCATCTTTAAAAAGATCAGAACTTCAAAAGACTTTTTAACTATGACAAAAGATCCAATATCTGAGCTTAAACATTGGGGTAGCCAGTAGATCTCTTCAGTATCCACTACCGGCACTTGTGTTTAACATTTTTTGCTGAAATTATAATAAATAATTAACCAAAAACAACGTTTTATATTTACACAATAAAACTTTTATTAAAGCCGTACAATTATTTATTATAATTTTAGCAAAAAAAGATCTCTTCAGGTTTGCATAATGAACAACAACAATAAAAATCTACTTCCTTTCTTGATGAGGAAGATTTGGCTGTTGTTAAACAACAGTTTAGTTGCAAGTAAGAAATTCAGTAGGATAAAATTGAGGTTATTGAAAATTAACTAAACTCTACAAAAATAGGAATAAATGTAGATAAATATTAAAACAGTAAATTCTGGTGGGCAGCTTTAATCATGACTATGATGGAGAACACATCAGGGAATTATGGAATAAAATTCATTTACTTACAAACATTGTTGCATAAATTGATTATATTCTAATAATAATTTGTTCCTTTACCTTTGTTCCTTGATATATTTACACTTTATTTTTTTAATGTTCATTATAATTGTATGTACATATATATAATATATGGATTTATATGTAGTTTTGTTATAATTAATTATGTTTATTGATATAGTTATTTGATATAGCAAGCCACATTGTGATCAGGGAAGAGAAGTGTAAGGTACAACTGAATCTCTGATTGTTTTATTTAGTAAACATGCCTTGCACCCATTCATAGAATCGTTAGTGAGTCGGTAGTTTTCACTGTCTATAATTCATTGTTGAGAACATTTAGCATTAAACCAAACCTTTGCTAGGTGTCTTAGAGATTAACTTGGACAATTTTTTGAGTCTTTGTAAAATTCTAAATTTTTAGAGTGAAAGAAAAGTGGAAACTTTTTCATTTATTCTCACAATTGTTGTTGTATGCATGTAAAAAATATTATTTTGCTTTGAGTATATTTAAAATATTAAGCACAATATTTAACTAGTTTCTGCCTGGTATAATTTACCATGACATACCATTTTGTATGCATATACGTTTTAGAAAAATTACTTGATGTTGAAGAGTTAAAACTCCTGGATATAAATATTAGATGAAATTTAAAAACTAAGAATTGATTCTGGATACTGTGGCTAGAGGTCTTGATCCCTAAGATGATGCCCTTGAAAAGACAATTAAATTTTAAATGAAAGAGTTAACTAAACTAACCAATTTTAAATAACTTGGGAATGTTTAGGGAAGAGCTTAAAAATACTTATAATTTAACTGTCATAAAATGCATGAAAAGAAAATTACTTGAAATAAATGTCATACAAAAATGGACTGCCATATGTTTAAATGGAGCTTAACAAGTTAGCAAATTTTAATTACAGTTTTTTAAACCAAACTGTAAAATTTACTAATTTAAGACTATTTTTATGGTTTGTGCATTTTATTTGGTTACAACTCAAAATTCTATTCATAAATAAACAATATTATTGAAATAGTTTGACTGATAAGATTTATTTTGTACTAATATACATTTACTATTTTGAATTTTTAGACTTTTGTCCTGTTATTCATTTTTGCAAAAAGGCAGATAGCACGATTCTCCCTCAAATCCAGGAGGGGGCCGCATGTTCCAGTTGGTAATGATGCTCCTAAGGTACTAAATTTAAACTTTATAAATAAAAAACAGAGATCATATTGTTGGATAGAAAGATTCATAAGTATTGTTTAAAATTAGATGTTTTGGATTACTAATTTCTACTCTTGTAGCTCTTCTGTAATTGAGACTTAGGTAATACAATGAATTATTTGAATAAAACAAGAAAGTACTTTATGGTAATATAGTAACTTAATACCAGCTAAAGTATGGTAGAAAAATTACTCATTTTGATCCTTGCATGTTGGGATTATGTTTTGTTGATGAACTTTTAACCCACCTTAATTCTAAGAGTTGGTCGTAGTATAACTGTTACAATTTTTTTACGATGATTATGATTAGTAAATATACAATGTAATTTTAATAGCCTTTGAGACTTGAGATTGAACGGAGGCTTGATTGTATCAAGAACATACATTCATTCTACAGACCTAAACTTCTCAACAAAGATGAAGAATCATTTTTTTTGTATCCAAACTGTGTTGAAACAAGTAAGTCTTTTCTTGTCAATGTTTTTGAAATTCACTGTAATCTTCAGAAAAGTACATTCCACATTACTGATAGTTTGTAATGTTAGTGCTCTTGTTATTTTGGAGGGAAGGCTTGTGAAATCAACTATATTGTTTTTTTGTCAGACTATACTGAAACTTATATTTATACTAGATAAAGGTCATTAAAACCACAGAGTTAAAAATTACAAAGGCTATTAAATTGTAACAAACCAGGTGAGAATGTTGACTGTTTGGAGCCTGAAGCTCTAGTTAGGTCAGTGTGTCTTAAAGAACAAATGTGAGTTTGGGGTCCTTGGTTTCACGTGTAGGTCATGACTGATTGCTTTTTACTTATTTTAGATTAATGCAAAGTGTCTCCCCAAATTTTCAAAACAAAGAGGAAAATTAAGTGGAATATGGGAACTTCTGCAGCAATGGTTGATATTTATTGAGTGAAATATGAGATTAGTTAGGACAAGGACATTTTTTAGGATAGAGAAAGAAAGAAAGCAAAAAAAGTTATTACTGATGTCCACTCATACTGGACCTTTGTTACTAGTGATGTGTTTCAGGAGTCATTGCTTGTGGCTTTGATTTTTCTTAATTATATTAATGATCTTGGCATGGGCATATACTCAGTAGTTTGCTGTTGATATTAAATTTTGGATACTTATAGCTGTAATGAGGATAATGAGATATTACAGAATGACTTGGATCAGTTGGCAAGCACAGGCCTGCAAATTTAAACTTTATGAAAGTTATTTTGGTCTTAATAACAGATTTTCCCTAATTCAGCTACACTGATTTCAAAAATAATATTAATTTTTTTTCTATTATGTAAGAATTTTTTATAAATCGGGAAGAAAAAAACTCTTACTTAGATCAAATTATTATTATTTTTACTACAATGAAAATTTTTTTATTATTATGTTTGTTAACAAAAATACAAAAAAACTGAAGAAAAGGGAAGAACACTGATGTCAAATAAATATGCATCCTTATTCTTCCTGGTTTTTTTTTGTGAAATCTACATCTTTTAGTCTCAAAACTACATGTTGTGGTCTTTCTTCTTTGTATTGCATTATGACATTTTGTGAAAAACCTGTATGTGATGGAGAAAAATGGATATCATTTTCAGATTCAGCATACAGGAATTAGTGTAGAACATGTAAAAATATCAAGACAATAAAACCATCACAGGCCTGTTCAGTATTCAAATGACCTTTCACCCATTGACTGTGGCTTGTCTAAGTGTGTGCAGAATTTTTGCAAGCTATACACCATATACAGCACACTCGTATTCAACTGCTGGAGGCAGACTGTACTTTATACTGCAAAACAACAGTCAGTGGGTTAATTATAGTATGTGTAAAGTAATGCATTTGGATTATCGTAATTTGGATTATACATTTAATATAGATGGGAACTCACTCAATAGCATGATTGAAAAAGAAAGATGTTGACATAGTAGTAGATGAGTTACTCAAGGCATCATTATGTTGCTAGTAATAAAACTAATAGAATTTTAGCGTGCATTTATAGATACTGATTACAAGTCAAAAGAAGTAATTATCTCTGTATCGAAATCACTAGTTAGGCTTCACCTAGAATATACTGTTTACAGCTTTGATCTTCTTACTTTAGACAGGATATTAACTTATTGGATAAGGTTCAAAGGAAGGCTGATTATTTTCACTTTTAAAAAAAGGAAGCCTTTCATAAGAGGTAATCTTAGTGAAGTTTACAAGATTATGTGTGTGTGTTGGGGGGGGGGGGCTAACTGGTATTGAAATGATTAACAACTAATGTTTGAGCCATAGTTTGTGTGTGTAAATAAAAATATGTAAAAACAAAATATCTGAAAATATGTACTAAAATATAGTACTTTAACATATGATTATTTTATTTTTAGTAACCACACCTCATCTGTACAGGATGCATGCTCTAGAAAGTTTTTCTGCTTTAGGTGAGTTTCTGTTTTTCATTTGCACAACTTTTATGGTACACGCTGAAACGTGAGTGTTTAATTATTAATATGATAATGGAAAACAGTGTCTAACTCTGATGTTATGGCTTTAAAAATAGTAGTCGTGATTTATCTATATGCATATATATTCAGACAAAACAACAAATTGAATGTTTTTGTTCATGATCCATTAATTTGTCTTTAGCAAGTATAGTTAAAATGTTGGTACTGTATTAAGGGACTGATAACATTCACTTACTCTAACAGTCTTTCACATTTTACCTACATTCTAACAGATTAGGGACCATCACTAATGTTCAAAATCCCCCAGTGGGTTAGCAGTAAGCTTAAAGCACTAAAATCCATGGTTTGATTCCCCTCAATGGACAGAGTACAAATAGTGTGTCATGTAGCTTTTATGTTAAAACAACAATAACTAATGTTTAGTTTAAGGATAATCTAATTTGAAATGCTGACTATAATTATTATATTTTTATGAAAACAATTGTTTGTTGATACACTTATTTTCTTTTGTACTTTTGAAGTTGTATAGTTTTTAAGTACGTAGTAACTTTATTTTTCTTGGTCACTATAACCACACATCAGCTAACTGAGATAGAACAACACAAACTGCTGCTCCAATGAAGTTCTGTACAGTGTGTTTTCTGTGGGTTCTCCAGATATTACTGTTAGTGGGAAAACTTGACACATGAAGTTGTATAATTGTGTTAGTGTATGCTTCATTAAAGTTCATTAGACAGTAAGGAAACATAAAGTATATGTATGTGTGTGTGTGCATATATATATATATATATATATGCATATATACACGTATATATTTCACAGTTATCTGTATTACATCAAAAGCATACAGGAAGTTACTCAGCACTGCACAGCCCCAACAAAATAATTATCTAAAAATGCAATATTTTTATTAAGGTTGTATGCATCAACAGATACATGATTGCCTAAGCAAAACTGTAACAAAACTTGTAAAATTATACCATTTATACAAAAGTGCAAATGTCTGTGGTTATAAACACCCAAAAGCATTCCATCTATCACCTATAATCAAAACAACAAATGCAAAACTAGAGAGCAAGCTACAGATTCAGTAAGGGGTTAGGATATGGTTGTTAGATAGATAGAAATTGAGTGTGGTTGATGATATCAGATGTCTATTTTTTTATATCAGTAATATGATGATTGTTAAAATCCAACAAATATGAAAGTCAAAGTTATCCTTGTGCACTGAATTACTAATTTGTCTATGATAAAGCTAACTTTTCAAGTTTTTTCAAGTAAATAAATTAAAGTTCTCTTTTTTTTTTGTCCTTCCAGAAACTGACCTTTTTCTGTCTGATCCATCCAAGTATTATCCTTCAGGGCAGGATGTGCGCGTGTTTCTTCTTCGATCATCAGCCTTAGGACTCATAGTTGGATGTGAAGCAGTAGCTCTTCATCAGTTGGCAGACTTGTATCAGTGTGCGAGACATGAACTAGTGGTATGATGGTTTGCTCTATATATAATATCACATTTAACACGTTCCTGTTACAGTATTTGTCTTTGTAATGGTATAGTATTTGTTTTCTTGATATTTTAAGTTGGTAATCATATAAAGATTTTCCTGGAGGATAATGAAGTTTTTATGTGATTACTTGACTTGTTCTTGAATAAGTATTGTTTTCTTTTAAATATTTGAGTGAGAAAAATTTCTGTAGGATTCTTATTTTGAACAGAAAATATTGATTCCTATGGTTTTAATATTGTATTAACTTAAATAAGAATCCTGGGAAGAGTACTTATATATTTGCATGTTTTAAAGAAGCTGTAAGTGGGATGTAGAGTTTTATTCTAATGTACAGCCTTAATATTTTACTTAATTGGTGATTATATAGAACGCCCTTATGTAAAATGTTTATATCTTCCCAAACTACTTGTCTTGGAAGAATTAAATTTTACCAAAGGCACATTAAGAATCTTAAGTGTCATTCAGAAAGCTTTGGTCATAATGCAGTATATTCCAAAAAACTTGCACAGGTAGTGTTCAGTATAATTTTTATCATTCTCAGCCACCATATTAATCTAAAAGAAGCTATTGTAAGCACAGTCTATTTCTTTTAAATCATCAGTCTTTTGTTGTTGAGAGAGATAGAAAAAGCAATGTTAATTTTCAAGAAAAGGATTTTAATAAACTGAATAAAACATAATTCTCAATGTGCTTCTAGTAAAAGTTTGTTCCTCCCCCCAAACAAGTAGTTTTTAAGACATAATAATTTTAACTGTGAGATTTTCTGTATAATCATCCTATACCAAGTTGAGAGAAAGTGTTTGGGAATCACAATGAGCTGTAACGAAGAAAGTTTGTGTACGTCTATGATAGAGAGTATTACATACAGTACCTGTATAAAATACAATCAGCATTTTGGGTACTTAAGGACTACAGTGAATAATGTGTAAAAAAGATAGTATTGTAAAATATGTTTCATGAAATAAATATGTTCTTTGTATAATACACAAAATGTATTTAACTCTTTTTCACTGAAGAAATTTTATGGATGTAAATGCAAGATGCGATTATTTTCTTTCTACTTTTTCAGGAATTTGGACCAGAAAAGTACAAACAGTTTATGGATTTGTTATCATTTGTGAGACAGCAGTAAGTGTTTATATGGTTAGATAATGTATAAACACCATATTTGTTTATCATGAGCTTCCCAATCAACTGATCTCACAAAAATTCTTTTACTTAATTTTCTGTTTCATCGAGTTTTGTTATCTCACCCAAGAAGTTTCTAATTTTTACATTTTAGTTAATTTTGTTAAAAATTTATAACAATAAATAAAAAATTACGTAAGAAACAAGAAATTTAGCACTTGCTTCAGGTATTAAGGCTGTTTCTACTTGGAGGTCATGCTTCAGTAATCCCACTTTTTTGTCACTTTGTTGGTTGTTCAAAAATAATTCCTGTAGCTTTCAGTTTTGCATCGTAGAACACAAAATATATATCAAGCACTAGAATAGAATGTCCCAAAACTGCTGTAATTTACCTGGCTTTCCAACTAAGCTATAAGTAGATAAAAAGTTCCACTAATGCAATGACTTTCCTCAACATATGTCAAGCTTGTCTTACAAACTACTTTTTTTGCCTGCTTTGCTAATAGGTTTGACAGATTTTTGATATATTATCAAACTAACAAGGTAGAAGTTTCAAATCTTATATTATTTCTTGTCAATATGTGTAATTTGTGATTCTAATTGTTTAGGCTCTATAGAAGCTTTATTGTTGAAATTATTAAATCTAAGTAGGAAAAATCAAAGAGCAGACATGTCATGTGACAAGAATTTTTTTTTTAAATTAAGAAATTAAAGCTTAAATAATATTAAAACTTGAATTACAAACTATGTTTTGATGCCAAGTTTATTGACCTACATTGACAATAAAGTTGTTTAATTAAAGTTTGAATGCAACTCTCTAAAAAGTTTATGACATGCATAGTGCAAGGTCAGCCAAATTAGCAGTCTGTATGCATAGGGTTAATTAATAAAGTTAAAATACTGTGACGTATTTTAGTGACTTCATGTGTGCCAGTTGAATAAGAGTAGAAAATTTCCTTTAATTTTCATAGATACTGTGGATACTTTAAACAAATCTTTTATGGATCCAGATTGCTAGAAATCAAAATCAGCTCATGATTAGGGATATCCTTTGTAAAAGTTTATAATTTGAGGCTTACACTCCTTGAAATGTTGGGGAACTGCTGCATTGAAGACTATATTTTAAAAAATGTAAAGTTATATATTGTTGCTAGTGGGTAAGTTACATTTTGCTGTTTAGAATTTACTGGATGTACTTTGAAATTGAATAATTAGTTACTTAAATTGATAAAGTGGGTTTGCAATTAAATGATTTTACTGCTGTATTTGGGCTGGTTCTACCAGTATGTTAGATGATCAAAAGTATTAGACTTTTTAGTGAAATCCTGAGGATTCTAACGTTATGTAAATATCAGCCAACTTTTTTTTAACAATTCAGTACTTTTCAGTGTAAACCTTCCTTCACACAAATCTCCTCATCATAGCAGCAAGAGACATTCTGAGTCTTCTGGTTCTTCCTCATCCAAAACCAAAGAAAACGAACACCCAGTGCTCAATGGGAAGCCTACCCCAATACTTCGGAGGCCTACCTCATTAAGCTTCAAGTCAGAAACTGGAGAAAAATCAGTAACTTTTGAGACTTCTGTTTGACTCTATAACAATAGAAAAAACTGCAGTATAGATGTGAGTGTGTGTGTCTTTCAAATTCTTCGTCATTGAAAATTGTGTTTTTTGAATAAAAAGTTTGGTTTAATTCTATATCTGTAATAGATATTGGGGAACAACGTTCTAAGACATCTATGAATGATCAGTATGTGTAATGTCAACAACTCACACTAATTTGCAGTGAAATTGCTTCATTATTACAACTTCTGTTAGAACTTATGAAGAATGCTTACTCTTAGGACCAAATTTCTGAAGACAGTTTTTTTATTTTGAAGATGGAAAAAAACACACGCACTGAGCCATACTATAACAGTGGAAGTGGTAATAACTTTGAATTTAAAAAAAAAGCAGTTACCGTAAGAATTTCAACTTTATTATTTCTCAGTCTCTGCTATTTTAGAAACTACAAGGCTCATAGTTGTTTGCCATGTTTCAAGGTAGATAACAAGTAATAATATAATTTTATTTTTGTGTATGTAAAAATTACTTGCAAAGTAATTTTATAGTAGACTTTGGAATAAACTTGCAACAAAATTAGAACATGAAAAAACTATTAATATAAAATTAACAGTGGTAAAGCATTTGACCAGCAATATTGTAAAATTAATATAGTATAGAAGATATCTCATTATGTCATTAGATTTGAAACATGAAGCTTCTAGTGAAAATTAATATTGAACATCTGAATTTATTTTAAAGGTCTTATATTAGAATTTGGTGTTCTTAATTCAGATTTGATAAATGATGGAAGTAAACCAATTTTAAACATTGGCCAACTTCATGAAAACTGGCATTATAAAAAAAATTCAATATCAAGTAATGAAACCTACATAACTTGAATAAATTAATATTAATTTGAACAGTTAGTGATATATAATTTGGTATTATCTTGTAAAGATTTTACTTGAAAACCGATACCAATTTACACAAGAATTTGTTAAAATGACCAAATAGAGTAAACAATGACCATCCTAAAAATGGTTGTCAAGTTTAATTGTGAGTGATAAATGAAATAATTTGAAAATTCAATACAGTTTTGTGTATTGTATCACATTGTGCTGTGTCTTATTATCAAATTGTAGATCCACAGATCTTAATAGAATTGAAAATATGCCTAAACCTTTCATGCATGGAAATGCTTGTAACTTTGTGTTCTTAGCCATTTATAGAATAAATACATTTAATATGTATGTCTGACATTCTTCTGTATTAAGATATATGTATCTTCTACTCTACTAGGCAGCTTATTGTCTTTGCTTATTATGAGTTTAAGTTAGATATGTGACTCCATGCTAAGGCTTCTGAATATAGTGATGTTTCCCCAAAGATTTACTACTGTGGTAATCTGTTGGTTGTTTTTTCTCTTGTCATTTGGCCCCATTTCCGTACAGTTCAATACACTTGAAATCCTTCTGTGTAACCAGTGTGATATACAGTATTCTTTATGGTCTTCCCTTCTCCAGTATTTATCCATCATTGTCATCTTCATACTGGATCATTATCTTATAGGGGCTTTGCTTTGATTTCCTGTAATCTCATTTCTTCCTCTTATCTAGTGCAGTCTTATAGTTGGGTAGACTTTTCTAGAGACTCTTTTCACCTTTCTCTCTGTTTCATTGGTGTTGAACTCTTGTGGAAGAAGAAGAAACATGACTGAGATCAGCTTATCCAAGATATTAAAAACTAACCAATACCTAATTAAAGTGTTAATACAAGGAAATAAAATCATCTCTTGTAAATATGTACAGAACTATGAACGATTAATTAAGCTTTGAACAAGGTGTTATTGTTGGTACTTGATTGGTGGTCCAGCTGGTTGACAACTCAAAGGCCACTGTGTCCCAACTTTACACTGAATGATAATCAGATATAACAAATTTGACTAATAAGGGAAACTGTGGTCATAAGAGAAAACTTTGAAAGAGAGATAGCAGGCAAGTATAGAGGATTGTTTGGAAACATCTATCTGTGCACAAATTGACGAATAACTTTAATAATAGTTTAGGAACATTCATTTTCACTAGAAAAATGTATAGGGAGCTGCATAAAACTAATTTTGAAAATGTGCCACTTATGTAAACCATATTTCTAAGCCAAAAGTCAAAAGAAATGTTTCCAATGGTGCCTAAATCATTAGGATTATACTATTACCCAGTGGAAATATATAATATGGTTAGATCCATAATGTTTCACATAATTCTGCAGTGATGGTAGGATCAGAATGTGGTGATAATCTGTTGAAGTCATAGACCCATCTTCCATAATCTCCACTGTACAAAGTTTTTGAGGTGATATAATGGGCTAGGTCCACTGGTTTCTCTGAATAGCCGTATATCTGTATGTGAATACTTAACTACTCTATCTGACCAAGTGCACTTGACAGTTCTCTTCATTTAACCTGATGGAGCTGGTTATTTCCAAAATAATAATACTATCAACAATAGAGCTAAAATTGTTTGTGATTGATTCACTAAGCATGATATAGATTTCTAAAATTCATCATAGTCTGCACAGTCCCTCAATCTTAATCCTTTTGAGAGTGTCTGGGATGTTTTAGAGCATTCTATTAGAAGGCATAGTCCATTACTGTCAACTCTACCTTGATCATAGATAATAATGATGTATGAATGGTCAAAGGTTGAAGCTCATATTTTGGCTAGTAAGTATACATTTTTTTATGCTTTGTTTTAAGCATAGTGGTATAAATAGGTTTTGCTCAAACACCTCCAGTGCAGGCTCACATTGCAGACAGCACTTTGGTTTAGTCCATCTGTATGTATATATGCAGAATGTGTCTGAGTATGTGGCCAAAGAAGTGTATAATGTTCTGGCATTGCATTGTATATTATTACATTAAAATAATAGTATTTTATAAACAAATAGTCAGGTTACCCATTCTACAAATGAAGAGCATTCAATCTTACAGACTAAATGATAAATTGAATAGTGTAATAACATGTGAATCCATCAGTTCATTGATTATTTGTTCATCCTCTTCACACTTTGCACCACGCCTGATGCAATAAACTAGTTTTATGTGCTTCAGTTCCTGCATAGTTCGAGAATTTATCATTGGTCACTCAGGTCTGATATTGAGGCTGAAAACTTTAGAAATGGGAAACTAAACTTAAAATGTGGGCAAAGTTTACTGAATAATTCATTTACTAATAGTTGCCTGTTATGCCCTCCCATGCCCAGACCTTGCAGCTTTGCAAAGCTGTAATGTTAAAATATTATATTAGTTTTTGTTGTTGTTGGAAAATTGAGTTCAATAGTAGGATTGATAATGAAATACATAAAAAAAATCTGATGTTAGATATATCCTAATAAGTGGGATTACATGCTTGATGTCTTTTACTTGCTGCTTTTGACCTGTTGTTTTTACTATTTTTGTTCTGTAAATCCATCTATAAAGAGCATTTCTGGGATAAGTTCAATTAGTCGATTAACACTTTATCCCCAACAGTCTTTGCTTTCTTAATTGGCCAGGTGGTTAGGGTGCTTGACTTGCAATCTTAGGGTTGTGGGTTCGAATCCTTGTCCCACCAAACATGCTCGCCCTTTCAGCTGTGGAGGCATTATAATGTGATGGTTAATCCCACTATTGGTTGGTAAAAGAGTAGACCAAGAGTTGATGGTGATGACTAGCTGCCTTCCTTCTAGTCTTTCACTGCTAAATTAGGGACAGCTAGCACAGATAATTCTCGTGTAGCTTTGCATGAAGTTCACAAGACACAAACAAGCTTTCTTAATCTTTGAATTTGACATTCAAAAAATATACTGTACAGTCATTTTGCTAAACAAAGAAATTTTCAACTACATTTTCTTATTTGATTTATGAAAACTAAACCAGCTAGGGATATTAGTTATTGTTTATCAAAATGCAAGTGTGTACAAATAAGTGAATTTAATTGTTGTGAACCTGAAAAATATTCAGCATGCATCAGTTATTCCAAATCATATATCTATAAAGGAATGTCTTCTTGTCTAATTATATATATAGATCACTAAGATGTCTTCAAAAAATCAGGTACTGTATTAGATTTTTGCTCTCTTAAAAACCAAGTCATTACTATCATCTTTTGAGCAGGAGTAATTGTGGAATTCCTGAAAACTAATAATACACATTTTGGAATACAAAACAATGGGAATTACAATAAACAAACCACTTTGCATTATTTCCTCATTTGGTTATTCATATCAATATGTGTTTAACTATATCAGAGTTTTTAATTCATAATTGTATTATGCTCTCGCATACAAACCTTTGACACCAAAAGCTGCTATAATAGGTTTAATAGTTTCGTTTGAGTTTACTACTGATTAATTATATTATGTACAAGTTACAGCTTTTTACAATAAGTTAGATTTGTTTTTAGAACAAGTATGATGTTTTGGTCACTGGTGCGATCATTCTCAAGTACACAAGTTTGAACATTAAAACTTGTGTACTTGAGAATGATCACATCAGTGATTGAAACGTTGTACCTGGTCTAAAAACAAATCTTACTTACTGTAAAAGGTGTAACTTGTATATAATATAGGATATAGATTTGTCTTATTGTGTAACTGGTCATCATATTTACCCTTTTTGATATTACTTCTAACTTTTCATATAACAGCATAAAGGCTTTTTCATAAATAGAAATGATTCAATAAACATAGCAACATCCCTTAATTATTTAGGTGGATTTTGAAATCACAGGTAGTTAATCTTTTCAGTCCATTAGGTCTTTAATGTTGTGCAATATAGCTAAAATCTAAAACATTCCTGGTTGATTTTGACTTAAAATCCTTTTTTTTTTCTTTCATCCTTTCAAGATTGCAAGTTTTATTGGTACTTGCATTTTTTTATTTATCAATATTCCATTATTTTATAACATTAGTTTTATAATAAATGGTTATTATTGATAAAATGTTTTAACTTTATAAAATTGTTATTGTTTTTACTTAGTGTTTTCAAAATTTGTTGTAATGTATTTTCATTGACCCTGTTTGTACAAAATAAAAGTTTCATTAAAGTTTGAACTTTGCCATTCTTCAAATAACATACCTTGATTAATATTTGTTATCTCAAGTAGTAACCTTATCTTCACTTGTGACTTGTCCTTTTCTTTGTCACTGAGAAAGGAATACTTTTCAAGAGTCAAAGTCAGAACTTGTGTAAAAGGCTTAATTTCATTTTATTCTTAATTCTATGACTTAGGTTTCTGTTTAATATGTATATATTTTGAGACACTAATTTTAAAGTTTGATTCTTATATCCTTTCATTGTAAAATCATTCTGATCCTTTAGTTTTATGTTGTGTGAAAATATTATATGCCATTATTAAATATTTCCATATTACATTCACAATTCCATGTTATAATTTGTCCATCTTTGCTCATGTTATTTTACTATTTTTCAATTTAATCCATAAGATTGTATAAAATTTTTTTGTTTGTTGACCAAGATTTCACTTTATGTGATTCTCTTTTATTTACGAAGCTTCATTGAGATAAGTAATAAGGCTTCTTGTAGACATTCCCTTTATGTTGCACCAGTATGTTATATTTATTTAGTTTACGTAATCAGTTGTAAGATTCATAATCATCTCAAGATTTTTTACTCCTTTTTCTATAACCCTATCATAGTTATTAACTTTTATGAAAGCCACCTGAAAAGTCAATTTCTTATAATTTTAAAACTTATAACAATAAATTTGATGTTATTTCTCGGACAGATCTTGATCAAAGTTTCAGTCACTAAGGGTAGTTTACTTAAAAGATTTATATAACTAGAAACTTCCTAAAACTAATCCCCAATTTCATATGTTCTTGTGTTAGAGTATAAATTAATTTTTGAAATTTGCCATTTCATAATAATTTTTAAATTATATTACTTATACTTACTATTACACATTCCTCCAAATCAGAATGGATCATTAAACTCATTCATCAACAAGGAAACTGATGGTTATTTATTCTGAAAGTAGTTAGCTGCTCAGATTGTGTAGCTAAATTCCTTGGTTTGTGTCCTGTTACTTCCAAAAATATACATATTGCACTGTCAGTCCTTGAGTTCATGGTTGTGACCTAATGCACTGTGCACTTTGTGGCAGTGGGTGCTTTATAAAAGTAACAATCAAATCCCATAATTCAGTCTAACAATACTAGCCCAAGAGTTGGTAGTGAGTAACTATCACCTCAAAATTAGGGATGACTAGTGCAAATAGCCCTCATGTTACTTTGAACAACATTAAACAAACAAACCAATTCTCCATAAATTAATTTTTAGTTATATAAACTGTTGATTTTAATATACAACACAGTTGTTGAGGATATCATTCAACATTTTGAAATGAATTAAGTGATATATAATCATATATATACATATAGGACTTGAACTTATGAATGTTTGCAGATGTTTTAAAGTAAACTTTCTGTCATTTTAGGGAAATGAAACTTAATTTGGACCTTTAGAGTACTGGGATTGTGATCAGTGAGGGTGATGTAAAAATCTGTGCTTTTAATGTGATGGTAATTTCGTAGGCAATCAGCCTAGCTGATTGCATACTTCTAAATGTTGTGAAATTTATGACTGTATTTTTTGCTCCTTACACATGAGTAGTTGTAAAAGTAGAAATTTTCTGTGCTATGAGCTTTGTACAGAAATAATATCATTCTTGTATGATAATAGCTGTTGTAAAGTATTACTGGTAATTTTATGTAGAAGATATCAAAATTGGCAGCTTGATGTATGTGATGTTGACCTTGTTTTGAGAGCCAGTGCCTAAATTTTGTCTTAAAATTGTCTTATGAAATAAGCATTGCATGTTTTCATGGGATCAAGTAGTTTAATATGTGTCTAGAGTTTTATACCTTTATACACTTGTATATGTAACATAAATCATATCAAAGGTAAAAAAAAATTGTCACCTAACCAAATATTTGTTTTATTGTTAAGAAAGCTAAATGTTTGGAATTTCTGCAATACAAAGCATACTGAAAGTAGATGTTTTAAACATTCATTGTGTGTGTTCTGAAGCAATAGTTTTGATAGGTAGCACAATAGTTCGTAGAAGGTTTACGGTGGTGAACTGTTTAAATTCAAACATTTAACCCGTGCCATGGGACATCCATATCAAATTTTGACCTGTGTTTAAGAATTCTGTAACACCTAACTATTGTAGTAGATCCATTGCTTCTTTAAAATTCTTATTCATGAAACATTGTATATTTACAGAATATAAAGCTGGATTTTACAGTATTTGTCATTTTTATTATATACTTAAACTTTATTTTCATGTTAAGGTGTACTATATAAGCACTGGTGTTAAGGTATATCATATAAGGACTGGTAGATGAAATTCAAAAAGTTTGTCTGATCAAGTATTAACATTATTTCTCAATGTTTGTACAAATTGTTGATATTGATCATATTATCACATTGTGTAATATGTAATACATCTTACTGTAAAATATACTTGAAGCTTCTTTAAAGCTATCTGACATTAAGTGTTGCTTTACATTAATAATGTCATGGTAAAATTTTGTTTATTGTGCTGCAGCTATCATGCAGTTTGTTTCAGTAAATATTTAGTATATGGTTAAACATATTTGTTGTTTTTAAATGAAACATTAAGAAAAGTTCAAATATTTCACCAACAAATTTTCTTTAACGTTAAAAGATTTTAAGCTCAAATTCTAGTATTATGGATCATAATTTTTAAAATCAATTAAGTGTTGATCATTTCTGCCCTAAAGATTAACTGATCCTTGAGACTATTTTTCGTCTCAAACTTCTATAGTCTGTGTCAGAAGAACAGAGTAAAGGGGATTTAGATCAGATTCAGTGAAGGAAGAATTTGTTTCTGTCTCTCCAGGCTTTTTTGTTGTTGTTTTTTTTTTTGTATAGTCCATAATACAATATTTGAATGTAAATGTTTTTAAATTTATTGTAATTGTGCTGTATTAGAATCAAATTAAATACTTGTCATCAGTACTGTATTAATCTGTAGTTGTTGTTTCCTGAATTTGAGCAAATCCATATTCACTTAACTTAACTCTCGGGTTGTATGTTTGTCCAGAACAATATTGACAAAATAAACTTAATTTCTGAAACCTTATTTGTTAGTTGTTGTACTGGAAAGAGAAGATATATTTGGCTACATGACTTCATGCTGCTATACTTAATACATTGTAACTTTTTTGTGATATAACATATATTCAGAAACTTCTGAGATGTTTCAATCAAACAGTGTTTGATTAGATGCTACTTCTAGTGTGGATTAGTGTGAAATATTTCTTATATCCTCCACCCTTCTTTAGTTAAGTGAAGGTGTAGAGCATATGCTCTGTGATATTAACCACATGTTGTAGATACATAAAAGATATCCAGACAATTTCAGTGTTAAAGTAGTGAGGGTCTATGTTAGATCAGTTCAATCTTTAATCACATGATCTTTAACCTTTGACAACCCTTCTGACATACATTCAAGGTAAAAGTGGTATTGGTTAGAGTGTTTCAAACATATATGAAATCAATGGTAATGGCAATTGAGGGTTGAGGTATGTGCTGGACCTGTAAGTGTTATACGCAACTATAATTCTATTCTTCTCTTGATGTATTTGCTATGCCATTATTGGTCAATTTCATCCAAAACTAAGAGAGGGTGTATCCTCAAAGTATTAACTGACCAAAAGAAAAGATTGTTCTCTGTCTTTTTTACACAGTATGTTATATTTTGGAGCAATTTTTCCAATGAGAGAGTGCGTGTGATTCCATAGGAAATGACACAGAATAATAGATAACTAGGGTGAGGGGAACTTTCTTGACCAACATCTTATTGTTAAAATTGCACACATTTGTATGCATAAACTTAAGAGTCAAATAAGAATTGGTTGAAAATAGTATGATTGCATTCTACACATTCATATCATGGCAGTGTTACTAAATTATGCCACTTTTTAGTTTCATGTCAATCAAAGAAAGAGTACTTTGTGTAGCAAGCAGAAACGAAACAGAACAAAAAGAAGTGTTGATGACAGTTGGATAATTTTAGATAGCTGAGTTCCAAACCCTGTCAAAAGGATTACTTAAGTGGGACACAAGATGACAAGCGTGTTCAGTTGTTTTTCTTTTCCTAGTAGTAGTTGTATTCCTTTTCAACTGCCACCGTTGATAGACGAGATTTCTTTCAACAGCTAATCGAAGAAGCAGTCTTTTGGTAATGATGCTCCTACTACCATTGCCTATTGAAATTCAAAAAAACTTTTTTTTTAACTCGTTGTCTAAAAACAGTTTATGATATGACTGTATTTTCGAAGTTACAGGTCCCAAGAAATCAAGTGAAACAAAAATGATCAGCTTAATTTGCGTTTGTAAATAAATGGGGTGCCCTACAAATATATATGTAGAGGAGCATCGGCGCCCGCAGGATGGGGAAAGGGGGTCACCTAACCCTCACTGGATTTTTAAAATGGGGGAAAAAAGTACTAGATTTGTAAAGTTATTCTTCTATGTTATTGGAAAATCATAAGGTATTTGTATTTCGATTTCATAATTTTTTCAAACTTGAGTTACTTGCCCCACCCCCCCCACAATTTTTTTCTGTGGGCGCACTTGTAGGGGAGTCATACAGTGGCCAACTAGTGTACTTACTCTTATCTGTATATTGTTACTTACTTACAGGGCCAAATTAAGTTTTAGTGGAACCGTAGGCCAGGTAATATTTGGGAATAATGATAAGATAATTCTCTCTTGCCTCTATTCTGCTAGTTTTACAAAACATAATTTTTTTACTTGAGTCGCCGGGGTCCTAAGCTCGGACCTAGGTGGCGTATGCGTTAATCTGATATGCTTAATTGTCAGAGTTATTGTCTATTGTAGTTTTATATCAGTAAAAATGGAACAAATCATTGTCACATGAAATGAACAAAACATTCGTAAAATGAAAGCAAAGGATCGCCTGATCAGATATTTAAGTTAAAAAAATGTACTAAATAAGCATTATTCATGAGGCTTTGATCTAGCTTAATTATTATTTGTTTTAGAATGTGTTTACTCTGTAATACTATTATTGATCCAAAAGTCGTCAAAACAAATGTTTTTTTCTTTCTTCACAGGAATCTGAAGAATTTCAAAGTTATTATAATCAGTTTCTTATGTTAATTTTTGTTTGTCTTTCATTATATATTTGTGAGTGCTATGACTGATTTAATGACTTACTTTCTTTGATACTGTTCTGTGAATTATTTTCAAAATAAATAACAATTCTTCATAAACTGGCCATTTTGAAACACAAAAATGCAAAACTACAGCTTTTTTTAGTAAAACTAAAAACAAAACAGCCACAATGAAATAAAACAAAGAAAGAGCAAGTACGTTGGACATGTGAATACTCTTTGCAAAGTAATAGAAAATTAAATTACAATATGAAAATAAACTGCAACATTAAAATAAATTTTAAAATAAATCTCGCAAAGAGAGTTAAAATAATATCTAAATTTATATAATTAAAGTTATAATAAAATTTATGTCCTCTTTCCCCAAAGCAAATTTACAGTTAATCTTAAAGTCCGCCAAAAGTTAAGTTACAGGAGGGAACCTATTTCTAGTTGCTAATCGAGTAACTGGGTAAAGTTGCTCACGAAACGCTCAACGTACACGTGACCTTCATTCATTTAAACTCAGTCAAGAGATTCGTCGAATGAAAAGACAATCTTCTAACCTGGGACATCACGAGTCATCTTTCCTGTAAGAAGACGTGGTAAATAATTGCCAATTAGCAAACTAAGATCCAAACAAAGCTAAAGATCAGGAAAAAATAAACGTCCTTTATTGGGCAGTTTTCTGTGTCCAAACTGAAGTGAAAGAAAAACAGAAATTTTGAACAATTTATATAATAACTAAAGAAGAAGTAAAAACACACACTAACAACCTACTAAATTAGGGACGGCTAGCGCAAATAACCATCGGGTAGCTTTGCGCGAAATTTAAAACCAAACCAATTCTTCAAAACTTTTTATTTTAACTATATTCATTATCATAAATCCTTTCATTTTTTCAAACCTTTAGGCTTATTGAAGAATTAAGGTGTTACTATTGCAAATATCTTTTTATCGGAAATATTTTAGTAGCAATGGCAAACAAGATGAAACTCAGAGTGATTCTAGCCCTTTTATTTCTCCAGTTTCTTGATTTCGAAGTTTGCACAGCCCTTACGTTTCGAACATATATTTTTTACTTTTCCTAAGTAGGTGATAAACATTCATCATTTCATTAATTAACAGTAATTTTATTTCTTTATGACCGCTAAAACACACCTATGGTGCAACTGTGTCAAATTGATTAATGAGATTTTAACTGTGTCCTTTTAGTGTTTAAACTGTACTTTTTACTTCTTCTCTCCCGTTCTAGAGTTTTTTTTTTTTTGTTGTTGTTGTTTTGCTTTCAACTCCATGTAATGATATCTACTGCATAGTTTCAAACTGTTATTTTAAAATTCTTCACGAATTATCTTGTGACTACGTTTATCTTAAAATGTCTGATACTGAACTTTTAAGGTTGTTAATTATTTTTTGCTCCAATAATAAACACTTTAAAAAAAAACAGGTATGCTCTATAATTCCCTGTGTGAACATGTAGAGAAAACAGAAAATTGTGGCCTTGTTAGATAAAAATAAATAAATAAATTTTTACATTGACTTCTAACGTCTTTGTAGTCCCCCGCTAGGACAGTGGTAAGTCTACGGATTTACAATGCTAAAATTAGGGTTTCGATTCCCCTCGGTGGACACAGCAGATAGCTCACTGTGGCTTTGTTATGCAAAAAACACACGCACACACTAACATCACACTTTGTGACTCCAGGTGGCCCAGCAGCAAGTCTGAGGGGAGGGATTACAATACCAAAAATCGTCTTTCGAAACAATAACGTCTTTGCCAAGTTGAATTTCCTGTTATATACAATACATGAGTTTTAGTCACAGCGCACTCTTGGGGTCATTTTTATATGATGTAAACAACAAAATGGTGTTGTTTAGATTGTTTCGAGAAAGAGAAAAATGCTTCGTTGAACTTGAAGTGAAGCTTGAAATATTTTTATTGCAGATTATTAAGTATATTAATACCAGAGTTTAGCAGGTATTTTTTAACATTTTGAGACATGTCATTTTCCAATGCAACAAAGGTTTTTATAGCTTCAGTCTTAGCTGTGCCACTGACTTACGTTTACAACATGGTGATGCTGTTAATACAGTGGGATACGACGAGTCCTGTTGCCTGGCTAATTGGGGCTTTATTTATTTTGACAGTACTGTCAGTTTCAGTTGTAAGGTCATCAGGGTCTCATGGATATGGTGTAAAGAAACAAGATAATTACCAATTTTATGGTACCTAGCATTATTATCATCAATGTATGGCATGTTTTATTTGTGAGTTAGTGTCACATTTATATTACTATTCTCAGTTGGTCATTATTCTGATATACTACTAAGTTCTAGTTTATTTAGCATTAATTATACTACTGTAAGTGTAACACATAAAACTTAAGGTAGAATTAAAATATGCAAGAATTAGATAAAATGTTTTTATCTTTATCACATGGACACTTGTAATGGTTTACTCATTAAAATACCAAGCATATTTTATTTACTAATAGTATATGCAGTAACACTAAATGCTTTTTTTATGTTATTGTAAATAGAATGCTAGCCTTTTAAGTAAAACAAAACAAGTGACTGTTTGAGTCTTCATATTGCCCCAAAAAATTACAGTTTATTATTATTATTATTATTTACTGTGACATTTCCTTTTTAAATAATAGTTGGACATCTAACATGTACATTAATCAAATAAAAAAATATGGAGGGAAAATTCCCATAAATAACATTGGCATGCATCCTGTTAATGTTAATGGAATGTGTGAGTGTATTGCCTAGCTGCTTGAGTCAATTGGTAAGATTTGCACTGCATAAGACAACGGTTCTCATACTCATTATTTTCTGATATCATAATACCATTAGCAATACACTACTTTAGTAAGGAAGCACATTATGCTAATATGATAATAGGTTGGCAAACAATGATTTATATGCATAAGGAAGAATTTTATTGATGGTGGAACATACTGCTTGTTTTGACAGAACTTTGGTCTGTCTTCTTCAGGCCTGTCATTATAAAGTAAAATTAAATTAAGATCTTGTAAATGCCCATATATTCAAAATAAAGTGTTTAGTTTTAGCTTTATTGTTAAACTATGTATTATAGTACAACTATATGATTTAATATAGTCTTGTAGTACTAAATAACAAAGAAAATAAGGTTATAGCTATACCCCAGTTCATTTCTGATTAATAAGTTCTACAAACATATGGCTTATTAAATGTTTAACCATGATTTATATGCATTTATATTTTATGATATTTTTTGCCTTCCAGGTTTTCTTCATTGATGATGATCTGGTATAGTAATTGTTGGCCTGCAAGCATTTTGTAGGCTGACATACATTTACATTTTGTTTCTTATTTCTTCACTAAAAAGGGTGAAATAAAAGTTATAAGTATTAGATTGTTTCAATCATAGAGTTGTACAATAAAAAAGTCAAATGTAAGGAAGTAAAACTGTAAAGCATTTACATATTATTACTATTATTATTTCCCAGACATGATTTGCAGTCTTTAGTGTACTTTAAAGTCTTTAAGAGATGGTAATGTGTGATTATTTTATTTTAGTTTTTGCAGTATCTTCTGTCTCTGGAGTAGTTGCTTTGATCATTGCACTAGAACTTGATGGAATAATATCAGGTAGGTTTAATAACAAAAGTTCATTAAGCTAAAAAATATATCTTAAGTGTACAACTCAGAAAGATAATGTTATGAATAATTACTGCTATGCAAAAATTTCCATGATAGTATACCTACATGGATCAGTCTATTTAGGTCAGTCACCCTCAAAACCAAAGGTTCATGGATATTGGTGCCATAGATAAAAGACTTATCCAAGTGTTGTGTCTCTGGATTAAATAGTTTTTATGTGCAAAGTCACTAATTATTTGACCTAAAATGGCTCCCAGATGAGACCATTGACAAAATTTCCAAAAACTTTATTTTTAATGATACAGGAAAAGGCAAAAACTAATGGTAGGGTAGGCTAATTTGGCAAAAATAAAACTAATATGGCAATATTTATGCAGTAAGTATGACCCTCTCTATTTTGATTATACCTATTTACAATTCACAGTAAATAACTTTGACAAAAGGCAAATATCTAATATTATTGCACTGTCAGTAACGTGATTTCTACAATTAAACAGTTCTGATTGATAGTTTATAGAGTGCCTAGCTGTATCTAAGCATCCCAGAACTTCCATGTAGTCTATGACTACACTGGTATTTTCCCTGATCATGTATTGAATAAAAGCCAAAATATAGGTCGACTCAGCTTGATATCAGGTACACTTAAAGCCTGTTGCATGCAAATCGGTCAACTGCAACCTTCTGTCCCATTGCTCTAGACCTGCTTAAAAATACTGCTACTTGTAATTCTTTTTTAATTCCAGTTAAGAAGCTGGTAAAGTTCATTTGCAATTAACAGAAAATCATTGTATTGAATAAACACGCTTATGTACCTGTACAATGCACAGGGAAAACATAAGGGGGCCAGAACCCATTTGATGTCCATCAGCACCAATGGCTTCTTCACTTTGTTTCTTCTAGAGCCTCATTTGACCATGCCATTTTTTCCCCCTTGCCTCATTTATCCTAATTTTTGCTAAACTTTCTTGATTTTGTCATGCCATCCATCTACTTTCTCTTGTTAAATGACATTTTATTTCTTGCACTGTTTCTGAACTGTTTTTAGTTTTATTCAGAAATTTGATTTAGAATTTATTTTATAGATGATGTTAGAAATTTTCAATTGAAATGAGAAACTGAGGTGGTTTGCCATCTTTTAATTCAAATTTTAACCAATATCTCAAATTTTTGATTTAATCTATAATGGTATTTAAAGAGTTTACTGTAAATATGATCATTAAAAGAAAATTAACATAAAGTCCTGACTTGACTGGGATTGGAATGCTAGTTTTTCATTTGAGAATCAAACACTTTAACCATTGTGCCATTTTTACAGTTTTGAAATCCATTGTTAAAAAGTATTAATTCAAAATATTGTTACGACAGCGGAGGTCACATGATGCTAGTAACACGTCATATTCTCGAAGGTTCGTGAATGCTCGAGCGTTTACTAGATTTCGGTATTCTTATACATATAATATGGTCAAGACGTGACGGCAACAATGGGCAATTGAACTGCGGACAGAGAGAGACGTATTGTTGAGCAAGCACGCGAGACGTTCGTTGTGAATTATAGCATTTGTTATAGCACGACTGTGGAAATTAAGTGTATTGCAAAGTTGTATTCAGAAAGAATAAACCAGTTTTATTTAAGAAAGGACTTGTGTCGCTAAAGTTTCATCGGAAAGGAATTATACGAGAAGTTAACTAACGACCAGAGACGTAACAAATTGGTGTCAGACAGTGGGACAAGATAAAAAAAAAATAAAAAAATAATGGAAACGAGAAGCGGCAAATCAAACTACAGCTTAGCAGACTTGATGGCAGCAATACTAGAGCAGCAAAAGAAACAAGAAAAATGAGAAAATAAACAAGAAGAAAGGGAAGAGAAATTACAGCAGTGGTTGGAGGAAAAAAAAAGAAACAAGAAGAGAGATTACAGAAGTTGTTGGAGGAAAAAGAAAACAAACAAGAAGAGAAATTACAGCAGTTGTTGGAGGAAAAAGAAAACAAACAAGAAGAGAGATTACAGCAGTGGCAACTGGAACAAGAAAGGAAACAGGAAGAAAGTCTCCAACAGTTGCAGGAAAGTCAGTAGCAACTAAAGGAAAGTCAACAACAGTGGCTAAAATTGCAAATGGAAGACATTAGTAAATTTAAAAGCGAATTAGATACATTAAAGGATCATTTATTGTTTTTTACACAAGGAGGATACATTAACCATCAATTTAATCAGCCCCAGACAATGGCAAGCCCTTTCCAGACCCC